TCCTTTGATTGACGTTCAGGGTCCCTGTGGCCTGTTCCAGTGGATCAGTTGTCCCATTATAGGTTTTACAAAGTCTTCCAATGAAGGGCTTATATCAGTAGTGGCTTCCATATTAGTTCTATCAGTCATTTTTTAAAACATATTCCTTTAAGAAAACATTCAATTTTTGTATTTAAAGTGAATTCATGTGGCACAAAAGAGTCACAAAAAGCAATTTGAGGTGTAGATTCTTCCTTAAAGGTGCCTGCTTTCTGACCATGCTGCATTGCTGGAAATGATGATTTATTCTGGTTTTGGAGAACATTTCTTTAAACGTTTCACTTTAGGCACCTGTAATAAATGTTTTTCCTTTCACAGCATGTTCAGAGAGCATTAAACCTTTTTAAACATGAATGGAGTCTAGTTGATTAGATTCCCCCTCACAAACACTCATACAGTATATATGTGCACAGGCACGTATACTGTACAGACCTGTCAAAGTGCTGGTACCCTTACATCTCAATGAAAAAAATGTTCCATTCTTCCTGAAATATGCTTTAATCGTGCATACCTTTGGTTTGCTCTAACATAAAAAGAAGCTGTGAAAACAGCTGCAGTCTTGTTTATTCTACAAAGGTCTTATAAAGTCACAGAACAAAAAAATATTAGTTCTAGTACTGTTAGTATTAGTGTCACAGTTGTCTTCAATCAGTGGAGGGCAGTCTTAATTTTATTATTGTGTCCAGTACACTGACAATGGACAAGAGAATGAACAGAGAAGAAAAGAATTACCAAGCATGGTCAAGGTAAAGGCTAGAAGTCCATCTTTAAGATGCACAAGCTGCAGTGCTTCCTGAAGAAGGTCCCTTGGACAGATGAGAGGTGAAGCTTTTTGGTAAATCACATTAGCTCTATTTTGATGAAAAGGGGGAAAAATGAACCTTTCAAAGTTACAAACACCCTCCCACTGTGAAACATGAAGAAGGCTTGGTTCTGTTATGGGGTGGGGTCTTACAGAGTGCCTTTAATCTGTGAAATCAGAAGATTATCAGGGCAGGCTAGTGTCAGAGGTTTGTGTTAGTAGATAATGGCTCAAAAGATACATCACATAGCACCAGAAAAGATGAGAAGAAAACATTGATATATGCAGAACATCTATGGAAAGAGCTGCTAATTACAGAAGAAGGCACCTGACAAACCAGAGGGAACATGGGGCAGTATGCTCGAGCAGAGTGGGCCAGACTAGCAGTATGCTCACCTCATCAAGAGCTACAACAAGCATTTGATTGCCCAAAAAGGGTGGTGCTACAAGATATGAGACTAAGGGTTCTAACATTTTTAAATGTCATCTTAATGTGTTATACTATTTGAAAATCTAAAGTAACACATCTGTTCTATAAAATATGGAACAGGAAATAGTGAATGCTTAGTTACTTTTGGCAGTTCAAACTTATTTCAGAGATTTTTTAAATGGAAGGGTACCAACACTTTATCATGTCTTTATACCCATCCTGTCCACGTTGTCATGTATCTGTTAGCATTATTCACTTGTTTGGTTCATTATCGTCCAACAGCCGTGATCTTGTCTTCTGAAAATGCACACTTGCACATATCCCAACATAACATCCATTTTGTAATCCATATAGATTCCCATTGTAATCCTGGTTTATTTCTTTTATAATATCCGTGCTCCACTCGCTCTTTGAAGCCCGTATCGATTGATCATGTCCAGTGCACCCGTCTGTATTTATACTGCCATAATCCACAGGCACAGCCAGCCAGAATCATTGTCCAACCACAGAGGACACACAAAGGTCACATTCATTATGTTTTGGAGAAGAGTTTCAAAATGGCCGTCAGTGTTGGACTCAAAAACAAAATAAAACAAGACTTGTCATCCACTTTTTTTTTTGTTTTTGTTTTATTTTTGTCAGAGCAAAGCATTTTTCCATTATTGTGGTGGTGTTTTTGATCCACTGGAACCCCGCCCTCCTCCCTCTGTTTCTTTTTTTTTGTGTGTGTGTACTCTGGGGCCCCAGAGAGTTGAAGAGTTATCAAGTGTCTGGTTCTATTAGTGTATAGGCTTTACTGAGATCCACAACTGTTCGGTTGCTCTATTGTTTTCCTTTTTCTGATTGCACCTCTTTCTCTTTGTTTCTATACATACCACTCGCATTGCCTGCTCACAACTGCCACTCTGTCTAGTTTTTTTTTGTTACTGCTTTCTTTATCTTGCATCAGTTTTTACTGACATCTTCAGCTTAGCCGTGAGTATTTAAAGACCATTTTAAAACTGTCATCCATCATTTCTCTCACCCCACCCTTTTCACATCTGTGTCCTCACTTATTTTTCCAATCATCACTCTTTAGGCCAGCTATAGAGCCTCTTAAAAATCTTCACCTCTTTTCCAGGTACACTTCCCCTCATTTTTTTTCTTGATTTCTCCCCTCCCTCTGAACTGACAGCCTTTCCTTCATCTGCAGTCACTTCATCTTCCTTCTACCCTCTCAATTTCTCTCCTGACTCCCATCACGTTGCCTTCCTCATAATCAAGATCCCATTCAAACTGCCCTTTAACATTTTTATTCCGTTCCACTGCCCCCTACACAATGCTTTCCTCCAGTTCTTCAGCACTCCTTCCGTCCTTCCCTTTCTCCCTCCCCCTGTCTTTTACACTGCTCGCTTTCCCGATAGTAATCCCAGTGTTAGAGTTAGAGTTGGTGGTGTTATAAGCATGGATGTATCCCCTTTGGAACTCGCAACGTGCTCCAAAGCCCCCGCCATTTTCACCCTCTTCGCTGGTTGTTGAAGATGCCGTACTTGTCGTTGAAGCGCATTGTACCAGCATTCCATGAAGTGACTGGCTTCGCCGTGTCCAGATCACACTCAGCCGCTTGGCATAACTGACAGCACCATAGCGTTTGGCAACAGTGGCCGCAGCATCAGTTGCGAAAGCGACAGAGGAGCCCATATCCAGCGAGTGTCGCCGTTTGCTAATGGTCCCACAGGCAGGACCTAGAGGGGATACTGGGCTCTGATAAGCCTGTGAAGAGTTCCATTTGTCCCTGCCTCGAGGAGTGATTCTCCAATCCAACAGCTCTGAGTCTCTCAGGGGTGCAGCCAGAGAGAAACTGGCACGATTGGTCAGTTCTCTCTCTAGACGGGGTTTTGGGCGATCCCTGGAGTGTGACTGACTGGGCAGGGTGGATGGAGGGGAAGGGGAGTAATAGAGGGGAGTTCTGTCACTTTCAGGGGTGTATGGCGGTGCCTTCTCCAGCTTCCTTTGTCTCACCACCAATGCCATCTCACCACCTGCCCCTGTTGTTGAAACTAACCCCCCAGCTGACAGGAACTTCTCCAAGCTGACTTTAGGTTTGGGCCTGGGCTTTGGGGGTGGTTTTGGAGGCAGAGAGCAAGCAGAATCAGCAGCTCCCTTTTCCTTGTCCTTCTCCTTGTCCTTCTCCCCTCCATTCTTGGAAGGCAGACCATTGGGCAGGACCACCATCATCATGTCCCCAGAACCATTTGATTGGTAGCAACCGCTACCATTTACCCCTTTGTCGCTGCTCCCTACGCCTCCGCTCTGACAGCAGGCCCCACCTCCTGCCTCAGTGTTGCTGTTGTGACACATTATGTGGTCGCCATGATTGCAAACACGGTGGCGAACCATGAGGGCCACAGTGAACACGAGTAGGGTGACTACAACAATACCACCAACCAGTATGGTGAGTGTCCCACCCAGGAAGTGGGCCTGGAGAGAGTGGCATGCAGGGTAAACATCCTTGGTGGAGAACGTAGTACAGCCCAGGACTTTTGTTGCCGCTAATGATGTGATGGTGTCATCAAAAATGGCTAGCACGCACAGGTTATAGTCCACACCAGAAACCAGGTTCTTCAACAGGAAACGGTCACTGGTCGATGGCAGAATTCTAAAAAGGGTCAAAAGCAAAAGAGGTCAGGCAAATAAACAAGCATTCTATGCAGAGAAATGCAGAATATATGCAATAAAATGAAGCCTGAGCATTGTGGGGAAAGAAAGAGCTGAATAGTGTGTGTGGGGGGTGAGGGGTGTGTGTGAAAGGATGGCTATAAACAGTGCAGGAGTGAATACTGCAGTGGGGGGAGAGAGGGAAAATGAGGCTATTGATGGAGAGTGTGCCCAGGGAACATGAAAAGAGAGCTCTGTCTGCTCATTTGGACTGCAGGAGTGCATCTATATGTGCATACTCGTACTTGAATCCTTGCACGAAGCAGCCGTCAAGCCTTTTCATACAATCTCACATTTTAAAAACGAGGCCATTTTAGGCTTAAGGGTCAGGGTTGGATTACACTAAAGCTGAGGTGTTCTGCGGTTTTAATTAAAGGCATATAGGAAGCACATTTGTTGTGTTATCACAAGTGAGGGTATGTTTTGTCTTTTGCCTGCATGTCTACAATGAACAAGTGCTTGTGTGGGATAATAAGGAGAAGTGGTTTGAATGTGTCATTTTAAGTGTTTGAGCCGTTGGAGCTATCACACTGTGGAGAGGTAAACAACAGAGAGATGGGGGGACAATGAAGAAGTTATGAGAACAGAGGGGCGCAGGATTTACAGGATTTTGTACGTGTGGTTTTCAGTGTGTGCATGTGTTCACGGTAGTACACGATTGACTTTCTAGAATGAACATCAGTGTGTGTTTTCATGTCAGTGGGTTTGTGTATGTAACATGGCAGTTTAAAGTGTGTGTGTGTGTGTGTGTGTGTGTGTGTGTGGGAGCCTGTAGCACAGTTCGAGTGCCTGACACTGATAAGTATAAATTTGCCCTCTGCTGTCCAACCCTCTTGTGTGGGCAAGTGTGTGTTTGTGTATTTTTGTGTTGCTATCCTCAATACTTTCTGTCATTTATTTCTTCTTTTCTTTCCTGTTTGCTTCCCACTTCCCTCTTTTTCTTTCCCTTTTCATGCTACATCCAGCAGTTGATTTGTGTTTATCATCTGTTGCAAACTATTCCAGCTCCCTGCAGACTTGAGCTAGATCCTGAAAATGTCCTCTAGTGTGACTCAGAAACTGGGGGAGCTGCTGCAAAAGACCCTTAACTTAGTCTGTTTAGAAAGCATTCAAAGCTGAGAGACTACAAAAGGCAGCAATTTAGCCTAGTTGTATTTTTCTTCAATTTTGAATTAGGTGTAATTAGCTGCCATTATGTACATAAGCAAATTAAGCAGATCAAATCAGTGCAATTGACAGTTTTCACAAACAAATAGCATTAGAGAAATGATGGAATTAGATGTCTTGTGTAATACTGGGAAACAAAAGCAAGCTACAGGGCAGCCCCACGCATTTGAGTTGTGGTACTGTTACAGTAAGTGCAAGTATTGATCACTGGTTTTCATTGCCTCCTATTGGGCAATGTAAATTAGGATAAAATGTATTTTTTCTGTAAAGAACAGCAAGTTGCCAGCTCCCTTACATTGCCTTATTGCCTGAAGTCATTTTGAATACCATGGACTGGCACAGAAATACCTACAAACTCATAATTTCTAGCAGAAGCTTATTATGATTTGATAAGGAATTTCAATGTACTGTCTGACACTCCAAGTCCCAATATAACCTGAACAGACGCATGTGGTAGTCTCATTAAAATCAACCTTATCCAGTGGCCATTAGGTCACCATAGATTGCTTTCTAGCACTGTCACAGATTCACCAATTAACTCATTCTTTGCACCGGAGCAACTCAGAGACCAGGTGTGCGTTACCATGGCAAAGGCTCATTATTTGGCTCAACAGTGCAGTACGTCGGTTGAAAATATCTCTTCACGCAATATCCACACATTAAATGCTCCATTTTTATGACCTGTCAACTTCCATTACTTCATTTCCCAAAACATTAGACCTCTCATTCTTTCGAAGCACAAGCACTGACACTGAAAATCCTCATGTTGGATCAAAGCAATTTCTAAACTAGCATAAAAACTAAACTGTACAATAAGCAAAATTGCAAAAAGAGAACAGCTACATGATATAAGGTATCTTGTTCCCCCAAATAGTGTACATTATATCCCTTTAAATAGATTAACTAGTTTGAATGCGTCCTTCAAATAACACTGTCACTTGAAGAACTTTCATTATTCAAGTTGCTGTACTGCTTGGTGAAATGGACACTTACTATATTGCAAAGCCCAGAACTTCAGAGCAATAACTAAAATGGTGGAAGAAAATAGCAATATGAAGGTTTTGATTAAGTACTATATTCCTACAGCAGAGAGTAAGGCATCTTTAGAAGTGAAGCCAAACCAAAGCATTATAACCAAATATATCAGGAATGAAACTCTAAAATGAAAGTCTGTCTTTATGAGTTACTATTGTAAAGTCCAGTCGCGGGTGCAGTATCAGATTCCCCACATGAAATATGCAAGAAGTGGCACTCATAAGGCTACTGCTGCCTCTGTTTCTGAATAAAAAGCCTTGGTTATATTATAGGCTTATCAAAAGCCCAGAGAAATATGGCAGTGGTGTCAGTTCATCCAGAACCTTTATGTGTCTGTGGATAATTGATAGGCCCCACAAGGCAGAGACTTGACCATCACTGTGGGAGTCATGTACTCAGCTGATGGGCTGGTTGTCTGTATCTAAATGGGTTTTCTGTTACTTTAATTCACTGTTGTGTTAATGCACACTGATTTCTTGTGTCCTTTCTTTTCTCCTTTTCCTCCATGTTGCTCGGTGTCTGAGTAATATTATTGCTAATACACTGTTGCGCGCTTTATTGGAGTCGGTACTGGAAAAGAAACGGCATTGTCAAAGTCTTATACAAGGCATATTTGTGATGATTTCATTTCTGTTCCCTGAAATACATACAGCTGCATTATGAATTATGCTGCACCAGATGATTTTGTCTATATCCTACATTACATGGATACAAAGCAACTTAATTATTTTGATAAACAGCATTAAACTATTCAGTCAGACCTTCACTGTGTGATCATGACTCGACATACACACATCTGTAGTGACTCCTATCTAATCTTGCCATTCAACACCGCTTCCTTTTTCTCCCTCTATCCTCCTTTTCAGCTCTCCTTTTTAGATCCTCCCATTCTCAATATATCCTCCTTTTTCCATCCATCTTTTATGAACAGATTTCCTTCTTTTCACTGATCAGTTCATCCCTTATCTCTTGGTATTCTTTGCCCTTTTTATCCTTTGTAATAGCCTGTGCTTGCACTGGTGCATTCTTTTTGTTACATGTTTGACTGCATTCTTGGCAGCTTTTACCATTTGACTTGGATTAGTTTTAGTCATGTTCATCCGCTTTGCACATCCCTTCTCCTTTGTCTCTTTTACCTCCTATGTATTTCCAGAGCTAATCAGCTCAGCTTGCCACAAATCCTTTGGCAATTCTTGCTGGGCTTTACCTGACCTCCCACCCTCTCTCCTTTTTATGGTCAGTGTACTGTGTCTCTATTAGCCACAGCTATAACCATGTACCATTATTTAGCATCCAAGGTCACTCCTCCTGTCCCTTCCTTTCCCCTCTCCTCTCCTCATCACTTCCCATTTATCTGCCCCTGCTCAACCCTCCACCTTCTCCTGGCCCCTCCCTCTCTTCCTTTTCCCATCCACCCCTCCATTTGCCCTCATCTTAGATTTCTCATCCTCCATCTCTTTCTCACCCCCTCTTCTTATATCACCCATGTTCTCCTCTGGCCCACCACTGCTTCCTCCTTTATGATATTTTGAATTCTCTCTAGTTGTTTTTGCAGTGACGGAAATAAGCATGCGAATTCACTGAAATCTGCATGGAAGACCCAGACACATTCACAACAGCGTGCATCTTTGATATGCCGATTCATTAGTTCTCAGTGCATTTTTACCATATGTACATGCCAGTTGCCAATATAAACATGCAAAATCTGCAGCTCTGTGGTGTGTGTACACATACACTTGAGGTACCTCAAGACAATGTATGCTCATGAATAAAAAGTGCACCTGTTATAACTACACTAGACTTCCATTCTGATGTACAGTATAATGAATTGCTTGTTTAAACTGGTTTTGTTGAAACGGCAGCAGTTACCCCCCTTGTATTTGCAGAAACAGACACTGTGTTCCACCACCTGACATACCAAGAGCGTGAGTCTCTATGCTTCTGATTATGGTTAGACCCTGCAAAGGTGTGCACACACACAGATACAGGGAGCTAGTGAAGAGACAAGGGAGCGCTTTGTTCTGTTAGTGACACAGGAACAGGTCATTATTAGTACCCATGGGTGGGGGGGATCCTCTCCCTTCTCTCTCTCTCTCTCTCTCTCTCTCTCTCTCTCTCTCTCTCTCTCTCTCCCTCCCTCCCTGTTTTGCTTGCTGTCTCCCTCTGTCTGCGTTACCAAGTCTGCTCTGACACCAAACAAGATTGGGCACAGAGAGCAGGAGACATTAGAGAGAGAGAGAGGGAGGGAGAATGAAAGACGAGGAGGAACAGCAAAGCAATTATCTCCTCTTCTGGCTGACATCTATACTGCCCTCATTTCCTTTTTCCATGTCATGTCTTTTGTTCGTTTGCCCTTTCCTCCATTTTTGGTCTTGATTCATCGGACTGTTTACTGTCTCAATGGTAGGCTGCTGCAATTTAGTGTGATTTCTTCTGTTTTCCTGGATCCGTCTTTGTCGATTCCCCCCACCCCACTCAGATTTGGTTTTATCCCTCCTGTCTTTTCACTTTCCTTAATCTATCGTTGTCACTTGGCTCTCCCTCATTTGGCCTGATTTTCCTGCCCCAACTGATTCATTCGTTATCTCTCTCATTCCCATTCTTTTTTTATGACCCCCTCCTTTTCTCCAACCCCCCAGTATGCCTTTTTCCATCATTTCTCCACCTTTTCTTATCATTTTATTTCACCCACATGATAAAAGGTAGTATGAATCCTCCTGTCCATGTTTCTGTAGTTCC